GGGCAGGAAGGTAGCCGCCCGCAAAGTATCTTTTCCACAAATCCACTCGCAAAGGTACTTGTTATTACTGGAATTGAACCCTGAATAGCCCTGAATGCACTGTTGCTTTCCACGGATTCCATTCGATTTGTGAGCGTCAAGAGAAGCAGGAGCCGGGCGCAGCAAATGCAAATGTGGCTGGTGACTAATGATTTATGATTGTTGATTGGTCATTACCGCATCAGTCTGTCCACCAGGTGATTGGGAGGTTGACAAACAATGACACCCATCAAACATCTACTCACCTACGCAGTAAGGTATTCAGTCATCATTGACCATTCACTCTGGAGCGTCAGCCTCAGTTACCGGGCGACAGGTTTCATTCAAACAAAACAAATAGTGGTTCTGTGGCCACTTTCTTCCAGTTGTGAAGGACAATCCGAGGATAGGTAACTTAACCTATGCACCGTCACATCCTCACTGCACAGCACCTGCAACACTAACTGATGACAATTGCTGACTGGTGGCGGTTCTGGTACTGCCACCCGATGACTCAGCAAGTGCCTCAGCCTCACCAATTCCAACCCAGCCGAAGCGGTTCCCTGGTCTTCTACCAACACACCGGCCCAGACTTCAGAGTACCGGTACCTAAGCATATGCATCTACCTACCTTAGCATAGGCGCCAAAAACACCAAGCAATCGCGTAGTATCATCGATTGCTACCTGGATGGCAAAAGAAAAGACATCTCATGCATCCTACCCAACTGGGTGATGGGTTTGGCCCTCGATGCCGTCGAACCAACAGCGACGCATCAATGCTCAAGCAAGAAAGCACCCCGGATTGCGAAATCAGCTCATCCTTCTGGGATATGGCGTACCTGAAACCTCGTACAACAGAACATGTGCCGTTCTTCGACACTCATCATCCTCTTCGCGGCGGCCACTTTCTATCAACACCAGCTCCTCGCACTCTGCCTGCACTCTACATTTTGCATTTTTTTGCATCTGCCATCCCATGGCTGTCCGCCGGCTACGGCGAATGACGTCCGGCTCTTAGGTGTCGCCCGAACCCGGTACTCAACTTGGGCACCAAGCGATGCCCAAAAACACATGTACCTCCCGAGCATCTCATCCCGGGTCTGAACTCTGCCGGGTGCTGCCGAACAAAGGGCCAAGGCATTGCCCTGGCATGTTCCAACCTTTCAACCCCAATCCGCACCCAGCCTGTTCCTATTCTTGTACTTGACCTCCCCTGCTCCGGCCTTTTCTTTTTTCCAGCAACAGTCCCTCCCCGGACAGGTCTCGCGATCATCAATTCCCACTCTCCAGATTGTGGCTGTGTCTAGCTACCAACAATCCCAACTAATGTCCCGATATCCTTCATTGCATGAACGACAGTCTGGGGAACCGCGTCTAGCACTCGGCAAGCACACACTATTCGGAACTAATTCCGGGTACTATTCAAGACGGAGGTAACACCTTGACCGCATCCCTATCTAAGACGGCTTCAGTCCATTGCGGAGGTAGTCCGCGACGACGTCATTCGCCGACACCGGGTCGTTATGTAATCATCATCTTCAACTGTTCAGCCAATCAGATACGACCCCTGTTGTGCCTCGGATGCTGCTCGGGAGAGCTCCTGGCGGGGAAGACGCCCCGTGCCCGGGCTTCAAGACCATGTTCCCGCCATGGTGGCGGCACGATTTCTCCCCAACCCACCGTGAGGAAGAGTCAATTGATCAGTAGTAGCCAGAATGTATCGCAACGCCTTGAGAACATGCGCGACACGATGCGCCGCAAAGCGTACCTTGCCCGCCGCGAGAACCTTCGCTTCCGCCTCCGATGGCCCGGTCTTCAACTGGGAGGATCCCTTGAACGCAAAGAACCTCCTGACTGAGGAGGAGGTCGCCATTTCTGAGACGGCTGAGCGATACTGCCAGGAGCGCATGCTGCCGCGTGTCCTTCGTATGTCTTCCCTTGCTGTTACCTTGCTGGTAACTTCCATGGCTTACACTGACCACTCTCCATAGAGGCCTACCGCGACGAGCAATATGACCAAAAGATCCTTGAGGAGATGGGCGAACTGGGGCTCCTCGGAGCAACAATTGAGGGCTATGGGTGCGCCGGTGTCTCTACTGTTGCCGGAGGACTCATCACAAAGGCCGTTGAGAGAGTCGACAGTGGCTACCGTTCTGGCATGTCCGTCCAGTCGTCGCTGGTCATGGGTGGCATCGCGGAGTTCGGTACCGAGGAGCAAAAGGAGAGATTCCTGCCAAAGATGGCCACAGGAAAGATGCTCGGCGCGTTTGGTTTGACAGAGCCCAACCACGGCAGCGACCCCGGCTCCATGGAGACGACGGCCAAGCCTCACCCGACCAAGGAGGGCTACTACTCTCTTTCTGGTGCCAAGACGTGGATCACAAACTCGCCCATTGCCGATGTGTTGATGGTCTGGGCGAAGCTACAAGAAACGGGCAAGATCAGAGGGTTCCTAGTTGAACGGTCCCAGTGTCCGCCCGGTACTCTCGAGACACCAGCTATCAAGAACAAGAATGGCCTGCGAGCCTCCATCACAGGCATGATCCAGCTCGACGACGTCCCCGTCCCTAAGGAAAACATGTTCCCCTCGGTCGAAGGACTGCGAGGCCCATTCTCGTGCCTCAACAGCGCGAGATACGGTATCTCCCTGGGCGTCATTGGTGCCCTTGAGGACTGCATTGCCCGCGCCAGGACGTACTCACTCGAGCGAAAGCAGTTCAAGGGTAACCCCATCGCTAAGTACCAACTCGTACAGAAGAAGCTGGCAGACGCTGCGACGGACGCGGCCTACGGTACCGTTGCCGCGATCCAGGTCGGCAGACTCAAGGACGAGGGCAAGGCGACGCCCGAGATGATCAGCATGGTTAAGCGCCAGAACTGCGATCGGGCGCTGCAGAACGCGCGCGTGCTGCAAGAGATCTTTGGTGGTAATGCTGTCAGTGACGAGTATGGCATTGGCCGTCACGTCGCCAACCTTTTCGTGACGCAGACGTACGAGGGACAGAGTGATATTCACAGTAAGTTGCTCCCGTGGCCGTATGCTTCAGGGATATCCCTTACTAACCTAAGAACCAGGTCTCATTCTGGGTCGTGCTATCACTGGTATCCAAGCCTTCGTGTAATAATGTGAGATGTGTAAATGTGGTCTTGTATATTACCTTGACGCCGGGGAACGGGTACGGTGGATCAAAACATACAAACCTTGAATGAGACACTTGCGAAAGCTATGCCCACTGTCAAAATTGGTCTTGCTTGCGATGCAATGCATCGTAGATGGGAGTACATCATGACCATGACATGCTTTTGATCTTGCTATTCTTGAGTATCGAACAATGCACTGATATTGTGGAAAGTCCAAAATACTGCGATATCTTTGATAATCTTGATTTTAGTCGGGATCAAGCCCTGTCAGATTCATCGTAGTCGCAGGCGTCCTCATCATGCCAATGCACTAAAGTCCTGATGAACTGGCGTGGATGCTCATCCTTCATGGGGCTAGTAGCCTAGGGGTAGGACTAACTAGTAGGACTCGAGCATGCACCACCGGTCTCACAGCCTCACTTCTGACTGTTCTTGAAGCCACCCTCTACAGGTACATGTACCTAGCTGAAGTTGGCTTTCTTTGATTCGGTATTTTTCTCCTAGAAATCATAACCATCTAAACTCAATCATATCTTGCAATTCCCTTTTTGGCCAGACTCTTCCAGCACAAATAAATCTGCGCCACCAATTTCCTAGCGCGGATCTGCGTATCGCAGAACCGAGATCTCTAAAGAGCATTCCGTAGTATCTTCCGTGGCCTCAGCACTTGAGAAATCCCCTTCCACTACGCCATGCGTCTGTCTCTTTTGCGGTAGCACTACGAAGCAAGTTGAAACCCAAGCAATGCCATCTCTACCCCTAGAACCAGACGCCGCAACCGAGACGGTTGACTGGGCCCAGCGGTGTCGACTGAGAACCTGCCTCGGCGTTCTCTCTGGCGAGGTCTCTGCTTCAGCTGGGACTAAGCTGTCCTGTAGATGTCCGAATCCGCTGGTCTCGAGGGATCTCAGCACGTTAGGGTGGGGAGTGTTCATTGGGGATGATAGGAGGGATCAGGAAAGGGGGTTTTTGGATTGGGTCTTGGAGTGGTGGAGGGATTTGAGAGAGGTGTTGGGAGAGGATTGGAGGAGGGGAGGGATTTGGGATTCTGGAGTTTTGTGAGGGCTTGAGTTGAAGGGAGTGGGTCGTTGTTGGCGAGGTTGGCTTTCCTGGGTGAAGGCACTGGCTCGTCGGGAGATGTACCAGCCATTATTGGACTACGTGCATCGTGTGGACAATATATGTCATGATTTATGGTACATTGTAACGGGAATATAAAGCGGATCAAAAGTATATTGAAATAACACATACAGAATAAAGAAAAGAGAGCAGTCTATCTACGGCAGGAGTGTGGGATCTACGTGAGGAAGCACGTAGCAGAGTTTTTAACGATAAACCTGTTTCGGGACAACATTTTCATGTAAAGAAGGCGTTGGGTGATGAAATCTAGACTCTAGGTACATGATATAACATGAAACTTTAGCCTGTATTTAGGCAAATGTTGCAACTTGCTCCCCTTAACCCCTTGATGTTTGTTCTTCAGACTTAGCTGCTCTGTAGCCAAACATTACCCTAACTCGCACGCTGGTTTCAACCCAACCGCTGACTCAGAGTTATCCGATCATTGCACGCAGTCGAACTACTTTGAGAAGATAATAGATGTTGCTTGTATTGGTAGACGGATACGCCATTGTTGAAATGAGTAGCTAGCTATCTACCTGTCCATGCAATACGGTCCCCAAAGACTTGGAATGGTGAAAGCTGTATACTAGAAAGTGAAGAGAAATTATGACGGGGGAAGATGATCATGATGTGGTCTGGGTGAGATCGGGAAGATGAGTGGATTGCAGCCTGGACGCCTCCCCTGACCTAAGTCCTGACCAACCCCTTGATTAAGACTCTACTCAAACTTGTAGGCATCGAACTTGGCAGGGATCTCATCCGAGCTTCCGCCGTTCTCCCAGATAGAGATACTGTTGGTGACAAAGACGTTAGTAAATGTGACAATGAAAGGGCTGGGAAGGGGGACAAGAGGAGTTTCGATCCATGAAGATGAAGGACACTATAGCTTACTAGAAGAAAAGAACCCAATGTCAGTATATATCAACTTCAGAGAGCAAACAATATCAAATACACGGGTGTACTCACCAGTTCAGTGTAAAGAGCATCATCAAGACCAGTCATGTTATACTTGGGTCCGTTCTCAAAGACCATCAAGTTGCCCTTCGCAACGGAAGTGCAGCCCCCGGCAGAAGCGGCGCAGGTGCCATCCTCAGTGGCGCTCTCATCGCGCTTCTTGGAAGCAAACACATAGTTGCCGCCAGAGTAGGTGCTCCCGCCGCAGCAGACATTCTGCGCGCCGTTGGACTGGGCGACGTACTTGACGTTCTTGCAGTCGCCGCCGCTGAAGGCGCGGCCGATGATCCTCCAGTTGGTTGGGATGGCGCGGAAGCCGATGCTGCGGAAGGTGTCACCAGAGGAGCGGACGCAGCAGTCATTTGGGTTGGCGTTTGTGCAGACGATGTAGTCGCCGCCGCCGCACTTTTCGTTGTTCTTGTAGCCGTAGATATCGATGGCCGAGACGGTGGCGATGAGGCCGAGGAAGATCTTGGAGGCGTACATTTTTGGATGGAGCGAGGTGACGATAGGAGTTACTGAATATAGGTTAAGAGTTGTCTTGTTTCGTGAGTGACGTGAGTAGATTGATGTGATGATGATGGAGAAGAGATGAGAGCTTTTGAAGTGAACTATGTCAACCTTTTATAGAAGGTTCTCAAGCCTCGAGACATGACTTATTGTTCCGGAAGTCCGAGGAAGAGCTGATGTCAACTCGATAGGCCATAGTCGTCATCCCAGTCACTTTCTGGATAGCTTCGCCCGATGCTAGTGCCAACTTCGTATTGCCACGGTATCCATGACCATGAACCTAGGCTCTGGGGAGGAATACAACAATAGTCTATCACCACCACAGGTCTATGCTATTGTGGACCAGGCTCTTGTGTTGCAAAGCACTTAGACTAGAACATGACCGATCGACATATCCACAACTGCTTTCAATACCTTGTTCTAGTGAGTATGCACCTCGATTAATCGACCTGACTTAGAATACTCATTGCCACACCAGGGATCCTTTGATTGGAAGTCAACCTGAGAAGCAAAGGTCCCTTACCATCGGCTCAACGGAAAATGTAAACGAAGTAAGCAAGATGGACCGGGCCGTCCCCTATACGAGCCAATCAACTCGCGTACGGAGCAAATGTAGCGCGGGAAAGTGAGGTAAGCTTACTTGCATAAGAGCCAAACTTCAACGACAACACCCCACTCCGGCTGCTTTCCGTCCAAGCGAAGAACTGAGCCTTGTTGTCTCTGCCCTACATGCAGGGGACTGTGTTCTCTTGAAGCTAGTGCTCGTTTACCTGGCGGCTTAGCAGAACTTATGTCCGTTTCATTACATGCTTACTAGTAGTTAAAGTATGAAGTCTGCCTATGAGGCCGGGGTCTACATACGTCCAAGATTAATATACTATTACCTGATACTTGCTAGATACTCGAACGTAATATCATAACATGCAATTGTGTTAGGGCTAAACTCTGAGCCAGTAGCCCTTGACACCCGTGAGTGGCATGTCAGCTGAAGCGCTTCACTTTGCGCTCGTCTCAGCCCACCGCTGTCGATCCTCGGTGTAACATCGTCATGATTCGATTACAGTTCACTCGAAATTCGGGCAAAGTATCGAGGATATAGTATGGGTATTGAGCGCTTTGGGTGAAGCTGACGCAGGATTCTACCTGCAAAGCACAAAAGGCCTCGTGAACCTTGATCTGTGCCACCGTAATGCTTGGAGAAGGATCGCATAGGCGACTTTCATCACTTATAGGCGCCTCGCTTCAGGCATCGGGCAAAGCTAAGAATAAAAGAGACATATTAGTCACAGCCTTGTGTCACCATGAGTCGTAGAAGGAACACCCCGGCGGACTTGTCGAGGTATACTACTCCTTTTGGCCTCGATAAAACGACACCCATGCTTGTCTAGACCACTATTACGTAGGAAGAACTAGTTTTATGCCCAATCCAAGAGAACCATCTACATAGTATAAGTTGCCTCACTCAGAGCCGGTAACGCCTCCCAGGATCGGGCAATCTGGCAGGTATTGTTTAATTCTATCAACAAGCGTGTAAAGAGATTATTTATCAGACTTCAATCGTCCAAGTCATCCATATAGCTCTTACAGATGACAACGACTCCATACCAAGGTCTTATAACTCCTGGCACTTCCTTTGGAAGCCAAATTCCTTCGAATTGGAATCATACTGCGTATATATCAAATTTGCGTAAAGTAAGACTTTTCCATAAAAGATGAAGGAGATAATAGAAGTTTAGTGAAGTGGCGTAGTCGGAGATGGCGAGCAGATGCACCAGAACAAGGTCAACGTCCGCGGATGGCGGGTGTAGCAGCAAGTAAGACGAAGTTGGAGATGGCCTTGAATTGGCTTACTCTTCCTGGGGAAGTTGGTATACACATGGGCTATGGGCGTCATCCGGCACCCGGTCACCGGTGGGATACGAGGAAAACCGACTCCGTACCCTGGCCTATCACACGGTTCCACAATGCGCTGTCTCCCAGTGTCCTCTCCACCCCTGCGATGTTTTCTTCCTTGGTGCCATTGCTGTCGATCTGAGGTTTTGTCAGAAGGGTTCCAGTTGTGGATGCAAAGAAAGGCGGTAATGCTTACATCGATTAGCAATCCTGCTTGACGGTAGTGTCGTTCCACTGGCGGTCCTTCCTCCAAGTACTCTGCGAACCGCTTCGTGAACTTCTCGCCGCTGTCGTTCTTGTCGCGGCCACGCGCGAGGTATCTCGCTTCTGCGTTCTCTTTGGTCACATTGAGTGACAAGACGATGTCGGGTTTAGGTTGACCCTCCTGCTCGAATTAGCCGTTTGTAGCCCACATGTTTGGGCTATATCCGCATCAACATACCAACGGAAGGCGTTCTTGAAAGGGCCACTGCGCCCACGAGGCAAGCTGCTCCTCGCACCTTGGGAATCCGTCGATCAATATCCCGTTCAACCCATCTCGCCGCACTGCATCCTCGATGGCAATGCCCAGGAATGGGTTCAACTCCGTGGACGTGAGGAATCCTTGGTTGTCTAGCTTATCTTGAATCGTAGCGGCGAGAGGCGTCTGGCGGTTTGCTTCATCCTTCATCCAGGTCCGCAGATTATCTCCCACTGAGAAGTGTAACAGGTCATTCTTGCGGGACAGATGGGTGCAGATCGTGCCTTTCCCCGAGCCGGGAGCTCCTATCACGATGGTGAGCGGGCTTGCATCCTATCTACCGATTAGGACCGATAGGTGACCAACCGAGAACGAATATGACTGCAAACTTCCGTCTATTCGGAGCCGTGGTGGTGCCCATGGTGATGAGGCCGGTGAGTTGTTTGCTCGTATGGGTGACGTTGGCAGTGTGCTGGCAGGTCTAGTAACGTCGGAAGGGAAGGTGCATCATCCCCGTCCCATGTCGCAGTTGGACGGCCGTGATGGCCTACGAAAGCTGTCTCATTACATAATCTCTTGTGATACCGGCATTTGAGGGGTTAATCAGTAAGTCCTCTGTGTTGATTGGAAGCCCTAAACTCTAAGAATACCCGACTTCGTTCAAGTTGGGCTTCACTGGGTGAACCTCAAAATTTGTTCAATACACTGCTGCCGTATGTGTCAATATTTGCAGTGAGACTACATCTAGAATCAACAAGGAGAACCTATGAGCCCGACATCATGGGAATCCTAACTATTGCCGCCCAGACGGCGCTATCAACCTTTTCGACGATACCTCCCTTCTTATGGGTCATGTGTATTGCTGTGCTAGCAATAACCTACTATTTTTCACTACGCCGCCACGCCGACACATCCCGCTCTCATCGATCGAAGACAGCCGTCACCCAGGAGTCAAAACCCAAGCCTCCAGTGGACGACCCGGACGCACCTGTCTCTGTCAATTATTTCCCATCCCGCGAATGCAACTATGCCTGCGGATTCTGCTTCCACACCAACACCTCAGGCTACATTCTTTCTTTGGACGAAGCCAAGCATGGCATGCGTCTTTTGAAGGGCGCAGGCATGCGTAAGCTCAATGTTGCCGGCGGCGAGCCATTCCTTCATCCGAAATTCCTGGGCGAGCTGCTGCGGTACTGTAAGGAAGATTTGGACATCGAAAGCATAAGCATCGTCAGCAACGGAAGCAAAATCCAAGAGAAGTGGCTCCGCGAGTACGGCCGCTATCTGGACATTCTGGCGATCTCTTGTGACTCGTTTGTCCGCGAGACGAATAAGGAGATCGGTCGTGGGGAGAATGGCGGAGCGGAGGGAGAAAAGGACCATATCGCACAGGTATTCCGCATTGCCGAGTGGTGCAAGGTGTACAACATCATGTTCAAGCTCAACACTGTTGTCAACATCTACAACTGGAACGAGGACATGGCAGACACGATTGCCCTGTTGGCACCGTTCCGATGGAAGGTTTTCCAGTGCCTGATTGTAGAAGGCGAGAATGAGGATGAGACGCGGGTGCGTGACGCAAGAAAGTTTCTCATCTCGGAGGAGCAATGGCAGACGTTCTGCGGGAGGCACGAGCACCTGCCTTGTTACGTGCCCGAGGACAATGAGACGATGGCTGGTAGCTATTTGCTGCTGGACGAAAAGCTGCGCTTCCTCGACAAGGGCAATGGGCCGATGAAGAAGAGCGAGTCCTTGCTTGATGTTGGAGTGAAGAAGGCCATGCTGCAGGTGGCTTGGGACAAGAGCGCGTTTGATAAGAGAGGCGGTGTCTACGAGTGGCGAAAACCGCAAGGTGGAAACGCCGAAGGAGGTTGTAATAGCGAAAGTAAGAAGGAATTGGAGTGGTAAGTGGTAGGCGGATCATGGATTGCGTTATATTCACAATTCATAAGGAGGTGGGCTTAAGGCTAGCCGCGCGGAAACCGGTAAAGCAGCCCGCCGCGCAGATTGGAAATCGATGTCAAGGTGAAAGACAGGCCTCGATTGACATTGAGGCCATTAGATCACGTATCTCATCTGAATCACCTCGTCTGATAATAGACTCCAAAGAGCAATTGGTCGGATGACAATTATAACATGGCTGTCAATGCGCTCAAGATTCAAGGATTCATGGTAGACCATAGTTCCTAGACCACTCCATCTCTTAGATCTCCATCTGACTTGGAAATTTCCCCAAAAGGTACTTGCTCATTCATGGATATTTAGGGGTACTTTGGCTAGACATGGCCTCTGGTCCTGCTCTGCCTGGCCGAGTTTAGTCTATTTGCTACCTTGTCGAACTGACGCACGGCGGGCGAGTCCTTTTGCAGGAAATAAGGCCGGACTTCTTCCCAAATTTTGGTTTTGAATAACCGACAGCGAGATTTTGAGGAGACGGAGACTTTTTACATCTTTAGTGCTGCCTTCAGTAGGTAGCCGAACATCTTGAGTTGCAAAGATTCTCCCTTCGGTATTACCGCGACCCTGATCGCAATCCTAGCGGTCAGCAAAAAGTTCTAGTGCCTGGCAGACAAAGTCTCGCAACTGCAAAAGAAAATTGCAGATATAGGACTATGCGAAGTGTGTTGAGGAATGCCAATATCCTGACCGTGCCTATCGCACGCTTGCCAAGACAGGTTAGCCAGAACAAGCTTTGCGGCTCTCAACCGTACGATTAATTCTGGAAGGTTGACGATCGCGTTCCTCTAGAAAGTATATTGCTTGAGATTGGATAGCGACTTGGCCAGAGCTCACTGTGGTCTAGGGTTATCTTGCTGAACAGAATAGAGAAGTCACCGCATCGTAGGGGCGCAATTTCAAGACAGTTTCTGCTATCACGAACCCATGAACCCTAAGCTTAGTGTCGACTCATTGGTTGAAGAGACGGTGAATATACGACGCAACCGAGCCTTCAGGCAGACTGTTATAGCACAAAATCGGACGGGCTCGATAGTATATAAACCAAGCTGGTAGCTTCTGCATCTGCGAATTAAAATCTCATAACCGCACCAGTTCATTCTCACTTTCAACGATTCAACTTCTACCTTCACGAGCCCAACCGTTCCAAGCACCACTTCAACAATGAATATCCTTCTTCAACTCTCGCTTCTTCTCGGCGCCGCATCTGTCGTCTCAGCTGGCTGCTCAGCATGTCCCCTCGGCAGGTACTTTACCCCCATGCTAAGCCAATGAGCCCAAGTCGTGCACTAAGATGGAATGCTGAGTCTCTGTTTAGTGGAAGGTGCACAGATAGCGCCGGCAACGGCTGCAGAAAGGGCGAGATCAAGTATCAATGGCTTGTGGCTCAAAATTATTGCTGCCGCGAGCCCGGATTTGAGACCGTGAAGTGCTGGAGCGCTTGCTAGACAAGTCTACGTTTGTGTAAGCTTTCAAATCACTGATGAGACTGAACTTCTTATCGTGGCTCTTCCAACTTTTCTGACCGTATCGATTCAGACAGGAGATAGGTCTCGTGTTGTCAAAGTTCTGCTTTGGGCTAAGTTGGTTCGAACGAGAAGATTATGGTTCATGTCGTAGTTACCATAAATTTGAATCACAATTGCCATCAACCATGTCTCCTCCCAAGAACGGACAGCTTTTCCACCTTCAAAAGTTTCGCTTTGATGTCGATGGGATTATCCGAGCGAGCTTACCCTGGCCCACTTTCACAAGTCAATACTCCTCCTGACGAGGTCAAGCCGTAGTATTGTACACCATCCAACACAAAACAACTACAGACTAGTCAAAGAAGCAGCCACATGTACTGACACACCGTGCCGTTCGCTCCCTCCTGAGTCAAGTTTGAACCTGCTGACTTTGGCTCAGATGCTGGCGGAAACTCATGGAGAGCCTGTTTAGATAGCAAGTTGCAAATTGCAAATTGCCACTGTCTCCCTGCACTCATACATGGGCGACTCACTCGGACAAACCTGATGCGATCGGCGAGTGATTCTACCGAGCCCGGAGAATGGGTTATACACGAATTCAACTCCTGTCGACTCATGGAGTCCAACTCTCCGGCAGTAGTCTTTACGCGCCCGTCAAAGCCGGTTTTCCGGTTAGATATTGGGACACAAACTCTATTTCGTCCCACCGAAACAAGGAGTGCCAAGATCCCCCAAGTTCATCTGGTCGGTAGTATATCGGGAGTTTCCCGAACTGAGGGATTCCTTCCTGCGACTTCTTTAGGAAAGAATTCTAGGCCGGTGCCGGCGGTATTTACTGATCAGTAGCCATCAAAGGACGGGACGATCGGTCATCCCCGGGCAAAGCGGGGGCGGTCATGAGTCGTGATGCTCAAGAGGCGTGGATAGGCCCCTATGCGCCCATGGTATTGCCTTGTGGTCTTCCCTGCGACAAGTTTTCAGGGGCCTAGAGATAAAACAGCAGTCAGAGGGTTGAACTTTATTCACTACGTCTACGACTGGAAAACCTCCATTATGATTCCCGTCTCTTGCACTCAAGCACCGTCATCGCTAGGAGGTGCTGGGCAGGATTTCTCCGTATGGACGCTTGTAGCATGATTCGATATCACTATTGGAAGCTTCGGCCATTTGTTTGAAGTCCTTAGAGCGTATCATGGTGCACAGCCTCCTTTGCGTAGAAGCGTAGAACGTGATGCGCTCTTTAGGCGGTCTGGCGTACGGCATAGCCCAACTGAACGCGAGGAAGTCTTAGTCTACGAAATGGAACTTTTGCAACGATTCGATGCAAGTTGCGAGCTGCGCTTGTGCGTTCCACATCGAGCATGGTGGCATAGCGGTCCACTAATGGAGCTATTCATAAGTCAGTTGTGAAGTTCCACCTACCATTATAGATGAATCTCGTATAAAGGGCAAAGGATCCTACCGTAGTTTCATGTCTTGTCCAGCACAACCATCACTCAAGTCTCAACTTCTTTCTCATTTCCAAAACATTCTCCATCACAACCACCATCGCTAAAATGAAGTTCCAAGTCCTTCCTCTCGTTGCTCTCCTCGCAGCTCATGCCTACGCGGCATGCGGCCCTGACGAGACCGAGCTCTTCGACCTACAGGTTACCACTGGCACAAGTCAATGTTCCAACTTTGGCTGTTTCAAAGCTTGCACTTTCCCCGACGGAAGCGGTTCATGCAACGGTTGCACACAATCAGTCTCTAATGACCACATTCGACCACTCGGCGGTAGTTACTGCTGCAAAGGACCCCTCACAGGCCAGACCAACACCTGCATTACTGGTTGCCCCGCAGGTCAGACTACTTTCTATCATAATTCGTAGGGAAGCAGAAGTACTAACGTTACATCTTACACTAGGAACAAGAAGTTGAAATGCTACAATGTTCCAAGAGGTCACAGCTGTTTGAAATAGGCAAAATCACCAAACGGTTGAGCTAGGTTCTCGTGTGATTGACCAAAACCGAATATTTTCTTGGTTTTCAAGGGATAGTAAAGCATCTGACTTGGAGCGAAGGGGGGGATGCATCATTGATTTAGAGCGTAACGTCTTCTAGGATACCAACATGAATATACTTGCATATTCCAGTTCAGTCAGCTTGAATACATGTGACCACTCACCTGATACACATCCCAAATCACGCTGCGACTTGAATATCTGGTGTCTTGACTTGATTAAACAACATGAACACAAAATAGGGGAAAAGCTACAGCGGCCACGGACAAATATAGATGTCAAAAAAACATCAAAAGGATCATTATTGGTCACTCGAGAATCGTGACAGGTTATCGAACATCTAGACGCCCGCGAAGTGCCATCCTTTCCGTTGAGAATTATTCATCGGCACCAAACGAACCTTGACATCTTTTGCCAAGCTGTTCATCTGTCTGACAGTCTCGAGATTCTGACTCCTGGCCTGCAGATCCTCATCAAGCCCATGAAAGAGAAGTGCTAGAGGCGAGGACTTCCAGACTGCACGACTTAGCCCATCCCCAGATCTCCTTCGTTGACTACACGCAACCAACACCAGGGTCGAAAATATCCACTGCAGCGCAAGAAGGGCTATAGGGTATGCTATATAGCCCCATTGAACATAAATGCATGTTTGGGTGATGATAACATGCCCAGTAGCCGCCTTGAGATTAGCAGGTACGTTCTTGCGCAACTCCTCTGAGGTTCCATAGGGATCATTGCGTATCGTAGCCGTCATTGAGTCAGCTAACCCAGCAACCATGTTGTTGACCGTCGAAATGGATGCGTTTCCGGACGCAAACAGTTGCTGACCCCAGACCGAACCTTGGATCCATTGATATGATTCCGCCTCTTGGGTGGTCATTTTACCACTCAGAAAGTCAGTCATCGTCTCCCTCATCCCTTGCCAGGAGCTTCTGTCTACAACCCAGACGCATTCTCGCGGGTATCTCTTCCAGGTGAGTTTCTCTGAGTGAGAGATCTCGGGGGAGTTGTCGTAGATCTCTCTGAAAATTTCATCCTTGAAACCGACTCGGACGGAATTACTCGCCCTTTCGTCTACTTCTTTGCACTTTTTCTCTGTGCCGTCAATCAAAACAGATTCCGTAAGTAATGAAAAAGAATTCTCATTCCTAGATTCACCCAAAGTTGCGGGACGTCTTTTTAGCAGCTGTTCACCACCCTCCACCTTTTCTGCATAAATTCCATCAGTGACCGTGGCTTGATAATTCTTGACGCAGGGGTCGATTCTGCATTGAGCCGCAAGTGGTTTTCTGTTCATTGGGGAATTTCCAGGCCCACATGAATCACACTTGAAAGACGTGAGCGACAAAATATCGAAGCTGTAAATGGGAGGCGAGCTGTTGTTATACACCTGACTGGGTGTAGATGCCATTGTCAGAAGTGTACCACCGCCTTCCCCTTGGAAGATCCTCTCGTCAGTTTTGTTTTTGCTCCATGGAAGGTACCACGTCGAAACGTTGGAAGCCGGTGTTGATTTATTGGTAAAAAGTTCGAAGACGGCTTTGTCTGTAATGTCTTTACAAGAGTAACATATTCCGAGAGACGAGAAGTAGCCTCCTCCGCCGTCTTGCGTGAATGTGCAGTTGCGAGAGGTGCAGGCGAAGTTGATTAGCTCTCCAGCCTTTGGAGGGTCCACAAGACCTTTATTGATAGCCTTCCGCATTTTCTGTTCCGAGGTGATGGGGGCAGCATCGAGGGAGCTGTCGCGCTGTTGAGGATTGCCCGAATAGTTGTTCGTCCGAGACACTTCGGCTATACCGAACTCTGCCGTGATATTACAAGAGCCAAGATTGATTGTAGCCTGGGAAAAAGCGTCGATTGCAAGGGCTGCAACGGTGATGAATGCACCAAGTCCAGCCAAGTATCTGTCAAACCGTCAATAGGCCAACCTCAACAATGATTAAGGTCACATTTTACCCTCTAATGTTCGGCCGAAGAATGCATCTCTTCATCAACAGCACTGACCCCCACGGCCCTCGACTCGCATTGTCAAACAAGACGAGATCACCTAGCGTTTGAGATCGATCGAACCAGTTCCATTTCAATTGTCCTAAGCCTAATGACCATCACAAGTTAGGATGTTTGCATGCCTTTCAAACACCGTCAGCCCATCGACGAGAGACAGAGACTTACCTTCGGCGACAGGAAGTATGAGCGCAGCTTTGAACACAGCCGTGAAGACGGCGATCAAGGAGTTGATTGATATGAGCTTTGGCCAGTTGGGAAGAGGTTGCCCTCGGTAAACGGATAGGATAATAACTATCGCAGAGATGCACTCCAATGCTAGAACGCTGCTGAACATCTCTACCCACCACACTGACCAGATCCATTCTACGGATAATCCGCTGTTCGGTGGTGTATTTGGCGGCTCGTGGTTTGGGACCTCGTTCTCAGCAAGCTTCAAGGTCAACTGTTTGGGAAGCTCTTCTTCCGAGTCCACCGAGGACACCTCCGAAACTGACGTGGGGTGTAAAGTCTCTTGATCAGAGATGTCTACCATGTTTGGGGCAAGGAAGGCCCTATGTTCGTCGTTTATAGACATATCTCTGGTCTCCTGGAAAGAATAACCGCATTCTTCTTCGACGGGTGTTGAGGGTCGTTGAGGGGACAGCTCTATTGAATCGTTGCTTTCTTCATTAGAAGCAATCGGAGCCCTGCGCAGTGAAGGCAAGATAGGAGAGTACATGGCACTTGAAGAAAGAGAATCGACCATCTTGCGAGAGAAAACCAGATGCGAGAGTAACGCGAGGCTGTACCGAGGGAGATCAATGTATATATAAGATCGCTACTTTATCTATAGCAAGACATGTCCAAACACATTTGGACGAGGCTGGAGCTGCAAGTACCTGTGGCGTTCCCCTTGCTTGTGGTAAGATATGCGATTCGCCATTTTCACCAAGCCGTCAGCAGTAGATGCGGTCGCAATTGGCCATGTGTGAGACCTCCAAATAGTTACGAGTTCTGGTGCAACTTCGGCAATGCAAATCTCGGAATAGAGGAATGGAAGCCTCTTCTTGGTTCAGCCTCAATGCCCCACGAATGCAGGTCCTGGAGGTTGAGACTGGGCTTACGATGGGAAGCAGTTAGCAGTACAGTCATCTTTCTCTTATGGCAGGCTTGAAAAAGCATGTCATTTCAAGTAATGGGTACACACTACGCTGTTCATTTAAAACTGTATTCTCGTACTTGTGACCCACAAGCATTTACTTTCTTCAATAACAAGATACTTGGGAGACTGGGCTTACACTCTCAGCCTCCCTCGCCCACTTCCATCGCAGGATCACCACATCTCTCCACAACCTTTTGACCAGCTTCGAAAGCAAATCGTCCGACGTTCACATTTGGTGACCGCTAGACTCGGTATGCAGTGTCCTCTTCTTTCATCACGAAACTCCAGCCGACCGCTATCGAAGGAGGGGTTCGACGAACACAGTAGTCTAACCAAGCGAGGATAATATTCCATGGCCTACCTTATTTGACTCCCAGTATAACATGGTTTACAGACATTTAGTCTAATACATGCTTATGTTTGACGGACTTCGGCAGACCTCAGGCAACCTGATACCTGGCTCTCAAGAGCCTGGCAGCCCTAAAGAATCGGCATCACAATGGTTCTGAGGATGTTTATAGCCCATTCGAACCCAATAAGCCTCAAGGCCTTCCAAGTGTCTATTCCTGCGTCGTCACAGCCATGCAAACTGTACACAATCCGGATCATCTATCCTCGATACTCGTACATCCCGATAACGCCAAGCAATGATGTGTTATACCCTCCAGCCTCGCGGCTAGTCCCAAACCCCCTTCTGCCGCCATTCCCCTCTCTCAAAGCTACTCAGCTCAATCAAGAATTCCGTCTCTCATGATCCATCCCGACCATCTCATACCCGCTTTCCCCGTCCCTCCCCCTTCCACGTCCACGTCCCCTGGAGAACCCGAGCCCATCCTCCTCGTCTCCGGTGCCACCATTTTGCGCGGCACCATCACCACTGCTCCCAGCACCGCCCCCGGTATTTCCACCGCCTCCACCGCCGAACGATATTGGCCTCAGCTCGCGGTATCTGGACCCCCAAACGGCCAACGCTACACAGATACCCGAACTGGCCGCCATAGCACCCCACCACATTGCGTTCCGTGGGATGCGGCCGGTGTATAAGCTCGTGACAACGAGGTGTAGACCATGCATCGTCAGCGCGAAGTCGGGTACGAGCTTTGAACGGCCGATGAGGATGATGATCGCGACGGCCCTGTTGTTGTATGTTAGCGCTGGTCTTCAAGCTCATGCCCTTGCTCGCTCGCGTCCTTTCTCACTTCACCCGACGAGCTCCAACCTCCCAGAAGCCACATACTACCAGCCTAAATGTCCCGTTTGAAGGACGGAGAAAAAGGGGAGAACTCACATGCAGAAACCCCCATCGAGAACCCACAAGAAAGCCCCCAACCAGCCCTGCGTCGTATCCCCCCGAACAGCCTCCCACCCAAAGACAAGATCCAACGTGAACCCCGTACCAGCGACGAGCGCTGAGAAGAGCATCAACACCAGTGCCCCGGCATAGTACAGTCCTTGTAACGCCGCGATCTGCGAAGCGATGCGCAGTGGGGGCAGGTCGTTGAGGGCGCCCGGCCGGGGCGGCTTGCGACGGCGGGGCATGGCGGGCTGAGGTCACGGTTGTTTCGGAGGGTTTGTTCGCTTCGGGTTTCGAGGAACGCTATGGTAGGTAGGTTTCTGGGTAAATGTAGATGGTTGAATGGGTCGTTGTTTTCGTGGTCGTCGTCGAAAGGAAGGGAGAGAGAGTTTGTCTAGGTGTCGTTGCGAAAGACGGTCGTGCGCTCTGTCTTGTTCTTGGTCTTGCGAATCTCGCTACCGGCGGAGCATTATCGAGCTTTCCTTTGCGGTTCGCAATAAGAAACTCCCAGACCACCCCCCGGTCGTAATCCCTTCTTCCCTGGAGCAAATCTCCGTGGCCGCTTATAAGCTCTTGCGTCCCTATTGCCAATCAAAGGCTGGGGAAATTGCGTAAAATGTCAGACCCCAGCGTCGATTCGTTCTCGTGGGGATCGTTTCCGTCTTTTGAACGTATTTCAATGTGATTCGTGGTTTGTTGCGTCCAAGCTGTCACGTTTGGAAGGATGTGCCAAAAGGGAAGCAGCGGGATGTTGACAGTTTTGGTGGCTGGAGTCAGCTGGGCCAGTTTGCGCCACACTTTCTGTCTTTTTGCGGCGCGCGCCGGTGAGCCTGTGCCTGCCTAGAACCGCAACGGCAGAGCTTCCAATCGGCACCCGCCACGCTAAGGACGAATGAGGCAAGGCTCACATTGGAGCTGAGCCGGGACAGAGCCACCCCGGTAGAGTAAACTATCCCACTCTAGGCCACCGCTCGATATTCTGCCGGCCCTCCACTTCGAACTTCGCGGCGTTGTTCAAGATCTACAGAAGTCGTCAAGACTTTATCTGAACCGCCACTCGTCGAGCGCATACGCCAGATCAACCCGCATAACGTCAAAAGCCTGCTTATTCAACCGAGCTTCCCTCCGGCATCCACCACCAAACTCACGATCCATCGATCCCCTCCCGATCCTCCCGATATTGACACCACACGATAAAACCCGAACTTCCCCCTCCCGTCGACACAATGGGCCTCTTCTCCTCCTTCCAATCCGAAGAAGCCAAGCGCGCCGAAGAAGTCCGCACGGGCGCCGTCGCCCCTGACCGCAGCGAACGCCGCAAGTGCTGGGAGGCCCGCGACGCATACTTTGGCTGCCTCGACCGCAACGTCATCGTCGACGCCCTCAAGGACGATGCTAAAGCCCGCAAGGCCTGTCCCGCCGAGAACCAGGTCTTTGAGCGGGATTGCGCTGCTGCTTGGGTACGTGCCGTTACCCCCCCCCCCCCTCCCCCACTCGAATCCCGTTCCTCCTTGCGCAGTCGTCCTTAAGCTCCTTGCGATCATGGGTGTAGCTTCTTGCTACCCCAGCGGCAGGACCTTTGACCAAAGCTGTTACCGGTTCACGCAACAAAGACAATTGAAACAAACACCAACTCCTAGACCTTGAACGGAGACCCTTGCTCTGAACAAAGCCAAAACTAACACTAAACCTCCTCTTCTAGGTAAAATACTTTAAGCAATGGCGCGTAGCAGACCTCCAGAAGAAGCAGCGCATAGCCCAGCTCGAAGCCGAAAACGCAATCAAGATGGACGTCACCACCACCTTTGCCGACCAGCCCTCAGCCCCCTCCTCCTCCAAGGGACCGACGCCAACAAAGGTTGATCTGCAGGATATGCTCGCCTCGAGGAGGCAGTAAGACGGGGACCCTTCGAGTTCAAGACAAAGAAACAAGTCTAAAGTGAACCAACGAACCAACCAAACCCCACGTCCAGTCAGATTTCGGGCGGAGCCTCAGCTTTCTTTTCTCTGGTTAATCTGTCTGACGATACCGAGTTTTCGGCAACTGTATATGGCCCCTTTGATACCAGAAAACCTCCCTTTCCTCCAGCTATTATTCGCTGGTGTACAACACTGTGTTTCTATATACTTCACTCCTCAGGGGTCCGGCGGGTTTCAGAATAACGTCTGTAGAATAATGTAAACCACGATGACAAAAGAACCACTAGCCATCAATAAGCCAAGCACGGCTAATTCCAGGGCCCAGGCATCTACGTTACTGAGAAACACATCACAATGCAAACTTGTCTTCGACACAGTTGAGAACCGACCTTCTATTTGTGCTACCTAGACGCACCCAACCCCATCCATATTATGGGAAGGGAATAAAAAGCGCCCTCTTGAATATCGCTGTAAAGTTTTCCACCAATCCCATCCCACGACTCCTAATTCTTTTTTTCTCCCTTTTGCCTTTGATTCCCAGCAGAGTTTGGTCATCACCGGGGGCGGAAAACAATGATTTTTTACGTGATGACCTTTATGTATGAGAGACTTTCTGTATGGGTGAAAAACAAGAGAACAAAAAAAGAGGTTTGATAATAAAACCAAAGGAAAAAGGTGTGAGGAGAGAGAAATGAAAAGGTTTGAATAAAAAAAGAAGAAGCATGCTCAATGCAATGGTGGTATCATCCATGAGAGAAAACACTAGTAAAAAGCTCTGTGGCTCGTCTCGGCTCTCTGTTGCCTCGGTCGCTGTGAGACCTCGTTGAACGAGCTTGCAGAAATTGTCATTGACCCCGTTGATGCAATTGTTGATTTGTCGACCCGTCTCTGTCTCTCTCCCTCTCTGCTCCTCATGCTTCATCCACCCTTCTCTTCCCGTCGCGTGTCGTCCCCTGCTTCGTCATTGCTCCCACTCTTACTCCTAACGCCACGGATCCGTCTGCTGTTGTTCCGCAAGAGGCGGCTTGCGCCCTAGGCCAGGCCCATGCGGAAGCTGCTCTGTCCGCCAGCCTCCTTTGGCAGCGGCGGCAAGGCTTTATCCAGCGAGTCCTTGCTAAGGCGAGGCTTGATGTTAAGCGAGTCCTCTCTGCTCATTGTCGAACCGTTTCCGTTGGGCAGCGCCCCGTAGCCGCTGTCTTGACTTTCGGGCTTAAGATGATGTCCCTTGGGCGGCGTCGGCGGCGCATAGTCCCTGAGTCCGGCGAATCTGCTCTCCATACCAGGCTTCGCTGGGGTAGCCGGTCGGTGGTCATCCCCATCACGACTCGCTGCCCCGTCTCTGCTTCTGCCGCCTAGCGATGAAGCCTCTCCTGCCTCTTCAACTACAGGTAAGATAGGAGCCCCTTGGCCACCAGATTCTCGCCGTTCGTTCATTTTGGTTGTCGACAGGACGACATCTGGAACGTTGAGCTCGGAAGCCCCGTGTCTCTCGGATCTTCGGGCATCTTGCTGGGCTCGCTCGACGGTTTCGCGTGCTTCGGGTGACATTGGAGCGCTAGGCGGGGTTGGCGGAGGTCGGTAGTCGGGCATTGGGGGAATGTTGTTTGTCCCCGACCTCCGGCGCATGCTCGAGCTCCAGCTGGCAACACGCTGTCTCTCCGCAGCTGCAGCAGCCTCGATCTGCTCCTGGTCCTTCCGCTGCTTCTCTCTAATCGCCTCTTCAGGGGACATCGTGATACCCTCGACGAAGTTGTAGAATCGGTCGCCGTACTGTTCAGGGGGAAGAGCGGAGATCTTGGTCTTGTCGCTTGTCAGTCCCTTCCAGAAGTGCTCAATCTTTTTGATCATTCCGTACTATACAGAAAGTTAGCAATGAAACAGCAAGCGCGGGAAGAAATCATACGTGAGTCAGGCAGTCGATGACGCCCAGGTAGTAGATCTCATCGGCTGGAGAGTTGTCCTCATGGGTCGCCTGGAATCCACCATCGTCCTGATTGAAGATGTATCCCGATCTGCTATGTCCCTCATCGAGCTCGTCTGGCATTTGAGCTGCAGTCTGTCCCATGGGCACTGGCCGTTCGTGCCTGATCATATTGCGCAGCTCCCGCGCCTTGCGAGCGTTCTCCAGTTTGGAAGGCGTTCGCAAGAGAACCGATGGCGGCTCACCATCTTCTTGCTCACCGCCGGGGTTGAAGACCTGAAGAGTCTTTCCTCGAAGATTCTCCTCGTTCCCTCGCTGTAAATCGTGGATACCGATCAACAGAGAGTAGTCCATGATTTTGAGCTTCTTCATCAAGACCACATCCTTTTGCAGCTGCTCCAAGAATAGCTTCTTCTTCTGGATGCCAAGTTCGAGGTTTCGTTGTCGGCGCATCCAGTTGAGATCCTTCAGCGTCGCCCGAGGGTTCTTGTCCAGGTCCTCTTCCTTATAGTCGCGGCCAATCGTAGATCCCTTCAAGTCGAAAGTGGTGTGGATGTCCCGGTGGGGAGGGAAGAGGTTGTTCATTACTACGAAGTGAATCTTCTTTCCGTAGGGCATCTTGACACGGTGGAGACCGTAGAATTGAGATAGCAGCGTATTCGGGTTCTCGGTGACGTGATGGTAGTAGTCCTTGAGGACCTTGCGGAGGAACTTGTGCTCGGCGTGGTGGATCGTCTTGATGATGTACTTGTAGTCTCTGGAGAAGTAGAAGAAGCTACCACTCTTTCCAGGGGAACCCAGTTCGGACAGGATATACTTGCCCGTCAGAGACATGAGGTAGTCTGCGGGATCCAAGCGAAACAGGCCGCGTAGATGTCGGAATACCCACGGCGCATAATCCTTAAATTTGAAATCGTACTTCGCCGAGGGCACCAACTCGTTTCCGGCACTGAAGAAATTAGTAAACTTGCAAAGCACGTGGGTAACACGGGACTTGACGTACATGTCAAAAGTCGACTTCTGCTTTGCCTCAAAGTCAGCATCCGTAAGGGGCCGGTCGAGCTTCGCGTTCGTGCGGGACACCGAGACACGGATGCCCGTCAACATGTTGTAGGCCGTGACCCAGTTGGTGTGATGTTCATCGACCTTTGTGCCGACCAAGACTCTATCGTCATCCTCCTCTTCCTTTCTCTTCCTCTTACTCGCCCGCTTCTGTCGATAATGTTCGGCCCAGCGCAGGGCTTCCTCGTCGGGCACCACCTCGTCACGCGGTACATCAGACTGCATGGAGCGAGTATCTCTCCGCACCAGATTAAGGGACGCCCTACGCACTCTTTGCGTGGTGCTTGTGGGAGAGAAGCGACCGCTGGAGAAGCCCGTATCGGAGCCATCTTTAGAAGCGCGATTGGATTGGGTGCCGGGAACCTCGAGCGTATGTCGATGCTTCAATCCGCCATTTGGCGGTTGCAGGCCCGTCGGTGTCGATCCGTTAGGGGTAGCACCACCGGATTGATAAAGCGGCGGAGAAGAGAAGCGTTGCGGTGATGCCGGTTGGTTATTGGCGGTGGGATCTGGGGACAGCGATGCGTTGCTGGGTGCTGCAACGGGCGTTGTGTGGCCGTTGACAAGTCTACCTTGTGACGGTATTGCTGGAGGTGCGTAGTTGGGACTGCTAGTCCCGTTTGTTTTTATGGCATGATCGATGGATCCAGCCGCAGGCGATCCAATTGATGGCGGCGTAAGGTAGTTATCCGTCGGGCTCGATTGCTCGGTATCGGAAGATGGCTTCTTGATGATAGTGATGGGCGGCGGCGGAGCTGTCCGGTCGGGCATGGTGACGGTGTGTCCATTTTGTAACGGGTGTTTCTGGTTCTTGTAATCATTGTACTGGTCGTGGTGATGAGAGTCGTGGTCGTGATAATCAAAGTCTGCGCCTCCTCCGGCCCCTGCCGAGCCGTTGGGCAACGAGCTCATGCTAGTCGGCCTCGTCCCATTCATCTGATTGGGGATGGAATCAGAGACGTCTGAGGCGTGGGTTGATGAGGTTGAGCTTTCGTCGAAGCTATCATGGAGGTTGTTTGAGCGCGATGGGCGAAGCGGTAGGGTATGGGAGAGCCCGTCAATTGGGTGCTTGTGGCCAGACAGATCAAGCGTGTTGTTTGGGTCGAGGTCCAGAAAGTCGGAATTTGGCGAGTAGACGGGGGCGTTCTCGCGGGTGAGGTAGGTGGGCATGGTCGGTCGGCCGGGGTTCGAGACGTCGGGAGGCTGGACGTAGCTGAATGTGGGAGTGGATGTGACGGGGGGGTGTTAACGGCTACTGCTACTATTCTGAGCGATGTCGTTATTTTGTCTCTAGTTTGTCCTGGTTGTTCGTGGGGGTATCAGCGGCAGGATGGCGATATTATCGAGTCCTTGGATGGTTCGTTTGTTGGATTGAAAGAAAGAAAAACAGAACAGGCCGAGCCAAGTCTCAGCACATTGTTTTCCGATGAAAGAAAAAACAACGCAAAAGTCGAATCAATGCGGCCGTTCGTTCGTATGGATCGTCGAGGTTTGGGGGGTATCGTACTTTCGCTAGGCGTGCAATTGACGTGGGTCGACGTTGTCGCTGTCGATGGTGAAGATCGACGAGTACCAGGAGCAAAGGTCGGAAATTGGGGACGATGCGTCGCTCCTGACTACGCGGTCGAAGTCGTCAGGTTCGTCTTTGTCGGGATGGAGGACTAGACGAACAGAGAGGAGGAAGCGTCGGAGAAGATGCGGAGGGTTGCGAGTCGAGACGGAGACAGAGACAGAGACAGAGACGGGAGAGGATAAATCAATGGCTCGGGCATGTCTCGACGGCGGCGCGGCGCATGATATGACGAGGTGGGTGGTGGTGGCCGGTTGGATGAAGAGAGGGAGTAGGAAGGAAAGCCGGGGAAGAGAGGTTTTGACGATGAGAGAGGCTCAGGTCAAAGAGACGGCGAGAGCGCGCAAGGTTACGGGTCCACGTTGGTGGAAGAGACGTCTTGCAGGGCAGTACTACGTACAGATAGGCAGTGTCCAGTACCGTGAGGTACCTGACGAAACTACGGGTCACAGGTGAGGTAGGCAGGCCTCATCAGCCGGGAGGGAGACGCTGGAGACACATCAGGAAGAGCCGAACAGGCGGCCCGGCCCACTGAAAGAAAGCCACCGGGCCCCTGACGGTACCACTGATCACAACACAGAACCACTGAGAGACGCTGGTAGCCCGGCGTGGACAGGACAGTGGAGGTTATCTTCCATCGACAGTCCTTCAAGAGGTACGTACTCCAAGGTTTACCACCTCAAATTCACCTGAAAGCAGGATGTTCAGCAGAGGGGCGGGACTCGGGACGCTGGCAGTGATGGCAAGTTCAAACTTCAGTGGGCGAGTGGCAGAAAATGAAAGTGGGAGGCGGGTGCACAGGTTCCCTGTACGTACTCTGGTATCCACTGGCCGGCTGGATGTTCGCCCTATTGCCCACTTCCTCCCGCGCCTTACCTAAGCTTCTGGATGGTTTGTACCTTAGGCGGTAAGGCGCCATGTTCCTGAATGGGGGAAGGGGAAGGGGCTGGGTGAGTGGGCGGATATGTATACCTCCACCACTGATTACGTGCAGAGATACTTGGAGATCCACCTCTTCAAATGAGAGAGAAATACGCATCTCTGAGTGGCCGACGGCGGGGCTGCGGTAGTGGGGTCCATGGCCCAATAAGGCTTGGCCGCCCACCGGTCTCTGGGTCCTGTTGCCGGGGCTCGAAATGAGCCGGCGACCTCTTCGCTTTTTGTTCACTCTCTCTGTGCCTCTCTCTCTTCCTTTTCAGAGTTCACTGTCCCAATCCTCCTCCAAGTTACACCAAACATTGAAGCTAGGCATACTTAGGTAATCTTTCGCCGCCAAAGGGCCCCTGAGGAGTCCCCCGTCTCGCTCTCGCCGACACGGTCACCGTTCACTGGTCAAGAACACACAGGGACAGCAGCAAGTCCCGCCGCCCAGCCCAGCCCCAAGGCGTGCTTGACGCCGTGTTTCCGGCCAACTGGGTCAAATTCGACTACCAAGCCACGGCATCCAATCTCGACTTGTCAAGGGCCATAGAAGGCGTCTCGAAGGGGGAGGGGGAGCCTGAAGGAGCCTCAAATATGCCACCAGTCGCCGATGGCCGTCGATACATCTCTTGAGGTTCTTCCGGAGTAACCTCTCTGCCACCACCATGGCCCTGACTCCATAAGACGTCAAAATCATGGGACGGAAGACCCCGCGGTCCTTGCATACACGTACATAAGCGGTCCCCTTTTCCCACTCTCATGTCCGTACTATTCATAGCACCCACCACCTCTGTTCCCCTTTCAACGACCTCCTCCGTGGATACGTGGATATGCACTCCGGTAGGTAGCATTGGATCGTCGACTGAGCCTCACTATGCATGCAGCTCCTTAAACCTGCCCTCACTTTGACCCTTGGAAGTTGGAACTCCCGAGTCCTCATATCCAACATATCCCTATCCCATCACTTCATCATCAAGTCTCGTCACTGCCAAAGTTAGGTTTTTGCACTGATCCACCGTGAGTGTGTCTCACAGCCACACTCCTGTTTTGTTCCTGCATATCCCTATGCCGCCGCGAAATCAGACATGCATTCGATAGCACTTCGTTAGATATTGATATTGTGCTCAAATGGCGGTACATCGATTACCACGTCTCATCCCCTTCCCTCGCCCCTTACACGGTCCCGTCCCTCTGCCATCATGTTACTATATTACAACTCGTTCCGAGATCTCAGGAGTGAGGGGCCAGCTTTCACCAAAGCAAAGGCCCAAAGGTAGCGCCGCAATGGATCAAATGCCCCTGGACAGTTGTACGCGTGACATGTCGCATACAGACACACTTGTCCAGAACCATCCCGTTCCCCCCGTCAACACCTTAATATCAACGACCTGCCACTCTACATGCATGACCGCCCCGTTGGCGGGCCCCCCTTCCCCTCTCCTTCGTATAGGCAAGAGCAACAGATTGCAGAAAACTTTCCCCTGCGCAGCTGGAAGACCCTCGTTGTCAGCCTGCAGAGCGGGGTGCACCACCAACCGTTGGGACATTGCGCCCTCATCTCGTCCCTGGTCGGCCCCCTTTGATTGTCTCTGTTTGTCGCAAAGCGACGGATCCTCTGGGGTTTCTGTTCCCGAATAGAAAACATGACGAACGAGATGATGGAGATTGTGGAAATGCAGTCGGCATGTGGCCTCGGCGCCCACGTCTATCGGAAAAGTAGACTCACCCTCTCAGAGACACACATATCCCCCTCGTAGTAATGCTTCACAGAAGCGAGAGAGGCTCGAAACACGCAAGGTGTGCATTTACAGATGGCGATATTGACTTCCGCGTTGCCTTACCTTCTTCACTCGTCCTCCAGTCCACTGTTCATATCACCACTAGTGCCGCGGGGAACGGGAACCCAAAGAACCCCGGGCCCGATCGCCGTCAGCAGTTAATCGGGCCTCCCTTCATCTGCCTCGCCCTCTGTACCTCTTTCCTCCAAATTCCGACTGTCGTCCTGAATAGAGGTGTTGCGTTGCTCAAGTCTAGGGCTGACCTAAGCACCCTTCAGGGGCAGCCATGGATCTTTCGTGAGAGACAAGAACCAACAGGTGCCCAATCACACATGGATCCGAGGCGTCCAAGTTGGTTTGTTCGAAATCAGCTTTTGGCCACCCGCGATTCCGCGGCAGCTAGCCAGCTACCGCATCCCGAGGGCCGCGCCGGACCATGACTCAATGAAATACCTGTATCCGTACCGATATGCATCATCTTCTCTATCAAAAAGCATATTTCAAATGGTACCTTTCGGGCAAGTTCCTCTCCTAGTAGAACATCGTTGCCGAAGCCAGAGCCGTAGCCACTGCCATTCTTTTCAAATGTCCAGTCTCAGTCCTCCAACCTTCCCAGCCTAGGTCTTACCGCCCGCGGATCCCCAAGACGGGTAGAGAAGGATTGCGTATGCGTGCCAAAAACGGATGCCAACTCATCAGGCGCCCAAGATCGTCCAAGGTCACATCACGCACCACAAATCACACAACAGACATCACACTCGCACCACACGCCCCTAAAAACCTGACCGCCAGTCCCCCCCCCCCCCCCCCCCCCCCCCCCCAACCCCGCCCCCCGGCGCCGGCCGCGGGGCGAGAAGCAACCCCCACCCACACCCCCCCCCCCCCCCACCCCCGCCCCCCCCCCCCCACCCCCCCCCCCCCCCCCCCCCCCCCCAAAGATTGCTGATAGTGAGCCCTTCGGAGATTCGGGGAAAGATGAGAGGCACACACGCAGACACGCTCACTCACACCGTCTGATGCGAAGCTAGCCAGCGTGCCAGCCCAAACCCCGTCGATGCTCTATACCGACCACCCATACGACGGTGACGTTGTGCCAGTCCTGGCCGTTACAACTGCACTAAACATGCACAGTCCCTGATTTACACTGGATCGCCAGAACGTGGACGATCCCTTGGGACTGCCAAAAATGCAATGACCTCATGGTTTACCTGCCCATCAATTCTGTTGTCTACCTAGGCTCTCACACATAGGGTCAGCACTTGAGCCCAGTCGTGCCGCACGTGGAACATGAGAATGGACCACAGCAGACTCTTGAGCCCCAAATTCAATCTTTCACTCATTGCCGCGAACTTCTCTAGTAGCACAACCAGGGATGCCCTCTCACCAACCGGACACCCACCGCCCAGTTCTTTCACCAGAAGAACCAAGAAAGCTGTTCACACAACAAGTCCCTTCCCTGACGTTTTTACTCTATAGTGCTCCGTACCCGCTCCGGGTTCCCGCGCCTGGGATGAACCTCCTTGGTTTACGCGCGTGCCCCTGGCCTTTCACTGCCGCTCGCACCCTTTCCTGCCCGCCACCCGCCAGAACAGGAGCGTTATTCAGTAATGCTAAGGAATAAAAAACATGGTGGTAAATTTTTTTTTAGTGGTTGCATCGAGAGCTTTGGCCCCCATCGCGGCACGGCACGGAAAGGGGCGCTTGCAATAAGGTCGTTCATGCTATGCGGTGCAGGCCTGGCCGTGGGCACGAATATGTTTGATGCCTTGAGTCCCAATACTCGTTCGTATAAGAGTGGTTATCGACTGTTCAGCGACTTGTCACTCTGAGCTTCACTGAATCGGAGTTTTGAGGCATCTTGCCCGATATCTCTCACTCTTCCATTCTGTTCTACAATATCTCCCGTCATACATCTTCTCCTCATCTCGCCAACACGAGGCCTCCCAGTGCAGTTCGTAACGACGGCTCTTTCGGGATTACGATAATCTGAACTCATCATCCCCCCTGAACCTAATTGAATCCTGTACTACGACCCCCAGAACATGTTCATGCCCTTACGTGCATACATCAGAGCTCCAACGGAATCGTCCGTGGCAGGTCGCGATTAAACAATGCAAATGAATGTTTCCGAGCACGTTCACCTGCCTCATCCTGCAATTTACAAACAACGGACCGACAAAGCTTTCCAGTTCCTTCAATTGCTTGGAAACCCCAGGGATCATCATATTAATGCTGGCAAAGGGATGAAAAACAACAGACGATTGGTTCGTCACTTACCAGTCAACAAAGTCGCCGCCCTCCCCCTCATGCGCCGAACAGCCTCTCTTTCACATGTTTGTTTTAGACCAAGAAGAGATAACAAAGCAGTTCCAAACATTTCACAGGTAGCACAAAGGTTCTCATGCGCAGCATCTGATGTGGCGCACCTGTCACCAGATGGCATTCCTGCCGCCCTAGAGCTTATGCGGCCATCAACTTGAGACTTGAGTTCATCTCATATCCTCGTTATGAGCCCGGCCTTCTGTCGAGCATAAAAATGGCTATTGGTATTTGTAGGCACAAATGCAAGTTCCCTCCTGTGCACGTACTCCGAAGGATCGTTTGCTGTCCGAGATCATGCATAACCAATGTATTAATGGAGTATCACGTTATTACGCTCCTGCTCAACAACCTACCTGCAGCAGCATGTCCATCGGGTCCATGTCGCCAAAGACTCCCTCCAGACTCGCGAAATCAACATCGTCGAGGCCATAATAATGACCATATCCCTCCTCATGCGTGTTAGAATAGCATCCGTTGCTTGCGTCCCTTGCCTCTGTAGGTCCCGATATGATAGCTCCCGGGGCATCACCTTTCAAGACGGGGTGGACAGGTTGCCCATCGAAAGGGTGAGTCAACTGGCGGACATAGGTGAGCGCCGTCTCAAGGGTACAAGTAGACTTTCCTGAAGACAAGTTTCTCTGTATGGATTGAAGTGATTCTTTTCCGCCCTTTGGGTCAGCTTGTTTATCTTCGGAAACCATGAAGGAAAAGTACTTACTGCTGAGGCGGTTTGCTATCCCAAATATGTTAGAAAGAAGGGGCTGTGAAACAGGCTGGTAGGAGCGATACTCACCAATAGGCCAACGGCTCCCTATCTGCTCCATAAACAACTCCAGCAGATCAAGCTGGGAGGAGAAAAGGGACATCTCGGACGAGAGCGCTCTTTGCAAAGAGAAGATTGCGCCAACCAAAAGAACAATGTAGGAGCACAACGGGTCAACAACGTCAAGGTAGGCGGGCTTCCATTTTCCGACGACTTCGGCCGCGTCGTTTGCCTTGTCCAAGATCGAGTGCCAGTGTGCTGTGAGATCGAGAGCAGCCGCGGTCGACGAGCTGCTCATCTCCACGGCACAGATGGCGAGTAGCAAGTCGGAGCTGGAACTATTAGCTTCACTGGTCCGATTTCATACGGGCACGATGTCGGGCGAGGATCATAGTGCTTACCAGGACCAGACAAGCAAGTTCTTCAACCGAGACGCGTGGTCTTCTCCCGTCTCGCCAACGCTCAGATTCCTCACGGGCTGAAAGTACCACGAAGGCAACGCAAACGCCGTGGCCGCGCTGTCGCTCTCGAGCTCTCGCAGGCGGTTCTCGAGGCCTTTGGTGCGGCCGGACTTGACTAGGGATCTGAGTTCTGTGACGGATCTCACAAAGGTGCATACGCCGAGATAGAGGCTCTGATTCGTACATGCCGGCTGTGAGAAGATGGCTTTCATCGTCCGCCAGTGTTTCGGATGCGTTGATCTGCTCAGAGACTCGTGCTGCGATAGGTCCTGATTGTGTTCAGAGTCAAGAGACGGCTGGATCATGGACTCGGTAGGTGATTCAGAAGTGAGTCTGATCTTCTCTTCGAGGCGATTCGATATCGCGTTTGGTGATGCACTTTGAAGGCTTCGATGTTAGCACAGTAGCGATGACTTCACAGGCATGCCCAAGCAAGACTTACGTGATGGCACAGCAGCAGGAGTCAAGGCGATAGATGCACCACCATACCCTGTTCCACTCCTCCATCTCAGCATCCAAGTCCTCCGCCTCGTCCCGTCGTCTTGCTGCCAGTCCATCCCCACCCCCGGCGTCCTTCTCGCTATTGAGATCAAAGGCCCTGCCAGACACGTTGCGCTGTCCTCCAAGGCACATCGTGTAGTACAAATCAGCCATCCTGGTGATCTTGGTGGTTTCGGTGACAGTTGCCCACGTCAAGGAGTCAGACATGGCGTGAAGGCACAGGAGAAAAGATACTTTCAGTTCATCCACGCTCAGTTCCGAGTCGCTTGAGAGACTTTGAGCTCGGTTAGCAAAGTCTTCTGGTGACCACGGTATGACGCCTGGGTTCGCGAAGCGTGAAGACACGGTGAACAAGGCCATTTTGAGGCGGGGTGACATGCGCAGCGCACTTCTGAGTCGTCTGTCTGGACAAGTCTCGAGTAGTGGATAGTTTGGTTGGATGTGTTTGAAGTATAGATTCAATCTTGAGCGCTCTGTTAGTTCCTCAAGTCTTACTTCGCGTTGCTTCATGGCTGAATGTTATTCACTAACAGGTAAGTTTCCATCTCGAGGCTGACGTTTGGGCCGTATGATAGGGGTCTTCCCAAGACATGCTCAGACCAAGACATAAGGGATGCATCGCCGTTAGTTCTTGTTCGATTCGAAGCTCTAAATGGTATACCATCTGAGCCATCAATGCAAACGGTTGTGTCTGTAGCTCGGCCACTTAACTCTGAAGAGGCGGTCAATTCAGTACAAGTCGAGGGTTTGAGTCGTTTTGTGCATCCTTTTGGAGGTCCTGGAAAACGCCGTAACACATATCAGAAAACAAAGTCGAAGTAATTTTAGGACAACACATTTACCTGGTTTCCTTCTTCGTTTGGTATACGAACAAGTGATAAGACGTGTACGGCAGTTTCCACACGCAGGACGGACTTGGTCACCTGTTCCACGACCACGCTGTTAATCGAGGCCATGTGGGGGGATGAGTATCAGAGTTTTTGAGCGGCCCAATCTCTTACACTTCGTTTTCTTCCTACGCAGATGATGTCAGTTCAGAAGCTTCCTTCAGACGAGGGTAGTCGGGAGTTGATGGATGGGAACGAACACTCTACAATGGTCGCAGACTCGTAGCTTCCCCTCATCTGGCTCCGGAGGACTCGAGGTATTGCTTGACGGATGATGGTCGGCTGTGGTAATCCGAGGCGATTCGGCAGACATGACGATACAGGAACTCAGTCGCTATTGGCCTCCAGTGCATCTGGACCCTGGATAGCTAGCTCGATGACACTCCGAATCGTGACCTCACGCCCTCCAAACAGATAGAGAATAAGGCCAGAAGTTTCCAATGTCAAATTTTGAACAGATTGTCTGGCAAAGGACAAAAGGAATCTCAGAAGTCAAAGCTACTTGTTACAAAGTATGTAGACGGACACGGCGTTTCGTGCTGCAGGTCGCGGGACATATGCAGAGGACCCGAAGAGGCTTAGGGATCCCGTTTTTGCGGGGTAGCTTGTGGAGGTGCCGGGAGATCTCCATGGGGCTCTCGTACTTCCTCGCTTTCTGACGTCTTTGTTTCGGCCTCGGCAATTAGTAGCGGTCCGGGACTTTCTCCAATGAATTGATTTTCGATGATCAAACAATCGCACTCCATTTGGAATGATTTCAAGTCTAGTTGAGCAACCCATATCCATAACCGAGTTTACGATCGTGCGAGATACGTCGTATGGGCCATACTTACACCAAAATCTCCTTTTACCGTAATGCTGAGCTTTGTCACAGACTCACAGCTTATCTGAGTACTAGACATAATATCGCATGATACATTCCGAAGAACTGCGAATTCACATCCGCACACAATATTGCGGTATCTCGGCTAGCCACTGCCTTATTCCTTGCTAGCTATGATCTCCGGCGTCCGTGGGTTGAACCGAACCAACAAGCCCGACTGCTTCGCAAACCAATAAGTTGTCACCTGCCACTCCGGCTCACTCGACGCCCATTCAAGACTAAATTGCCGCAATATCTGAGGCACTACCTTCCCAACTTCCATGATCGAAATGTTCTTGCCAATACAAGTACGGACACCAGCCCCAAACTGCAGATACCGGAGCAAAAGGTCAGCACATTCCTTCGAGATGGCGAGATGGCGTCAACTTCATCAGAAGCTTCATACGTACACTCATGTTATGCCGGTCCATTGTCTTGACAGCTTCAGTGTCGTCGCTGAGCCAGCGCTCGGGTCTAAAGGTATCGGCATCGTCGCCAAAGATGCTGCGGTTGCGGTGGATCACGGCGGCGTTCATGCCTACGATGGTGCCGGCCGGTAGGTGAAACCCAGAGATTTCGGCGCCCGTCTTCGGGACGATGCGTTCGAGGGGGTAGGATACGCCTGGGTGCATCCGCATGGATTCTTTGATGCATGCTTGGCTGTGTGTTGTCTCAACGTTAGGAGAGTGAATCATAAAGGCCCAGGTTGCTGAAGGGACTTACAGATATACGAGCTTTTGGCTCTCTCCGAACGTGACCACGGGCGACAGTTCTCCTTTTGCTTGTGCTTCGTCGATTTCCTTCTGTAGAATATCATACACGCGCTTATCGCGCAAGACATAGTAGAAAAGAGCTCGGAGGGCGATGCCAGTCGTATCACTGCCAGCCAGCCTTGTTTGATTGAATAGTCAGTGCAGGCCACTTTACAAAGTATTGTTTCTTCCTTACAGATTGCCCATCAAGTGGTTCATCATATCTCGAGTACTGATGTGTTCACCAGTAGACGCTTGCTCCCGTCGCAAATACGCCAAGAAATCCCCTCGTTCAGAAGAGTCTTGTTTGGCATCGTAATCTTCTAGGCCCTCCATCACCATCTTTGCCAGTTGGGGTCAGCTGGACACGCTCAGAAGAAAGATTTCAACAATGCGCATCTCATGCTCGTAACTCACATTCATAACTATTGGCAATGGATCCGGAACTCCGAGTTTTTCCATCACCTTCCTCAACGTGATGTTGCCCAGAAGATACTTGTGCAAAGAAGGCACCTCCCCGATTATTCCGCCGTACATGAGACCGGTCTCAATGCCAGAGATAACATCGTTTACGTCGGACCGGGTCTCCATGAATCCGAAGCGACGGGAGAACGTGATGGCGCCAATGACGTCGAATGCGTACCACTGTACCCACGTGCCCAAGTCGACCACCTGCCCCTGCATATCGGTCATGGCATCCGTGAACATTTTTGTACAGGGGTCCACCAGATACTCGAGGGTTCGAATAGACGTCATGGAATACTTTTGTGCCACTGGTCGCTTGAGAGCCTTGTGCATCTCTGGGTCGATCGCCGTGAACAAACTCTGCATCCTTTCGTCTTCGTAAATAGCGTCCAACGTGTTGTAGAAGTTTGACTGAAGAATAACTGTGTCAGATTGCGTCAGATTGACCGTCTCCTTGTTGTACATACCTTGATGAACTTGGAATTTATGCCGTAGATGGTTTGCAGAGCTGCCGGGTCTGAAATGTCAACCACGTTGGGGGCAGTTCGTACGACTGGCCCGTACTTCTCATGAAGTATACGGTAGTCTGAATGGGCGTTGCCCTTCCAGACGAAGAACACGCGCCATAACGGAGTGAATCTGGCAAAGAAGGGCCCAGGAATTTTACTCAGGCCAGGGCGGAAAGCTACTCGCAGTGAGTTGACTAGGAGAATGAACAGGATCAAGACGAGCCCAAGTGCAACATGGTTAGAATCGATGGATAACATGGTAGCGCTCAATGAAGATTCTAGTGCGAGATTGCGGTTGAGTTATCATAGCGTAGGTCGTTGGGTGACAGTCCATTTATACTCTACATCCGGGGACTCAGCACTACCATAATCTGGCCCAGGGACATCGTCTCGAGCTCGCATAGATGTTGAGGTGTCCTAGTCTCTGTGGAGAAATTGAGGAATATTGGCTCCAGGCTACTCCGCACGTCGCTGCTCGCACCGACACATCACAACTTGCGGGGCATCCAGAGGATGCTCCGGTGTCTCAGGCCTCGCACAGTTGCCCCTCGGGAACTAGAAGACATTGGTCACATTACCGTTCATCAACCTAAGGAGACGCATACATGCGAGTGGTTTGTTGCCTTGCTTTAGGGTAGAATGTTTCCCTGCAACTGATTCTAGCGCCGAGACCGAGGGAACACCCTGGCTTGCACATGGCTCTTGCGTATGTTATAGCATGTTCAAGACGTTACCACTAAATCGCAATAGTTAGGACGCACACTACTCGACTATATCTAGATCGTAATCATATACAAACGAAGTGGAAATACTCTGAAGGCCTTGGCGGCTTCTGAAACTTGCCAACACAGCTGCCGGCATGGTTCCCACTGCCGATGTCCGGAGCAATTGGGCCCCACCCGGTGTGACGCAGAGGTTCCTCCGGACCCACTTGAGGATGCTCCGGAGCCTGCATCTGCCGGTCATCACCTACGACCGAAAGGCCGTCGTCAATGCTTATCACTTGCGCTTTAATTTCACCTTCGTCATTGGCCTAAAAAATAACGTTGATCGACAGGTCACCTGACAGCACTTTCTGCAAGTTCTTTTCCGGCGGCACAAGTATTGAACTAAGGTGTTGTTTATGAATGTCAAGGTCTATCGCCGCGCACAAGTCTGTCTCGCCATTTTTGAGGATCGATGTGTATCCATGAGCGTAGTGCGGATTCTTAACCGATGTAACAGGTTATTGAATGGAATTAGCCCAATCGCTCTTCACGCTCTGTGCAACGATGCCAATGTCTTTTCAGGGAAATCACGCTTCAGCCGTATGATCGAATTAGTCGAGTAGATACGGATGCCCAACAATTATGTTCGGGAGGTGTCTGTATTGCAACAGAAACATCTGTCGCGGAATCTTTGTCAATAATATATTGCTTCCGTATAGCGAATGCTAGCAGTACACATTCGCTTCCATCATTGGCAAGTGCTGGTAGCAACCCCCCTTCCCCCTTGGATGAGCCATTGTGGACCGCCACTTCCCTCCTAGACATATCGAACATTTGAATAAAAAAATGCAGATGAAAGTCAAAAGGAAACAAGATGAGGTTGTAGCCTCGGATTATATTCGCTCGTGCAGAAATACTTTGGGTCTATGTCTTTGCAGGGCCTCATCCTGCTTGTTGGTCCACGATCCCGAGCGAACCTCTTTTCTAAGAACTTCAGTGTGTTGTTACGCCGGCGAGATTAGTCTCAGAAACACCATTCGAACTACTTGGTATCTTTGAATCTTTTTTTCATTAGTGTGTTTGTAGCGCTACGTAGGTTATGTTGGGGCCGTCGCGAAATGCCCCCACGCTTCAGGTACGGCAGATTACTTGGCGCGAACGCCACGACACCTTGTACTCGAGCGAAAGTGCCCAAGTATCGGTGAGTGGTTCTCGTGCCAAACATACGGTCAGAAGGGATCTTGACTGTTAGTAGTCGCTGACCAGCTCCAAGTAGTGATTTAGTCAGATTGGCTGTGAGCCAGATGATAGGTGGTGGGAGAGAGTAG